CATAGTTGTGTAGGGATCTGGAAGTGTTCGTGTGTGCATGTGTGTTCTTGTGGGTGCATGTGTGTGGAGGTTGGAGATAACTTCAGGTGTCATTTCTTGGAAACCCTGTTGACCTCATGTTTTGAGATTGTGTCTTTTATGGACCAGGAGCTCAGCAGTCAGGCGAGGCTGCCTGGCAGCATGTCCTGGGAGCCTCTCGTCTCTTTCTCCCCAGCCCTGGGGTTGCAAGTTTGGGCACCATGCCTGGCTGCTTACGTGGGTCCTGGGGATCCAAGGGATCCTCATCCTTGTACAGAGAGCACTTTGTTGACTGAGCCATCTTCCCAATTCCCTACCTAGATACATGTTGGCTTCAAATATCAAGGATGGTACTGGACATTGTAGAGGCTGTTTATGGGTCTGCAGCTAAGGACTCTCTCTCTCTCTCTCTCTCTCTCTCTGTTGCATGATGTTATGTGCATGTGTGTGGGTATTCATAGAGGCCAGAAGGAGGCATGAGGTATCCTCCCGGGTCAGGCTTCACCTTACTCTTCCTTTGGCTTAGGGTCTCCCCCTGACCCTTAGGCTTCTATCTCTTGGCTCAAGTGGCCAGCAAACCTTAGCTCCTCTTAGGTCTGCCCTGCTCAGTGCTGGGGTCATGGGTGTAGGAAGGTCATCCGAGCTTACTGTGTCACTGAGCTCTCTCTCTAGCACCCTCTGCCCCCCTCCTTTGGACAGAGTCTCGTGTATTCCAGGCTGAGGATGACCTTAAACTTCTGATTCTCCTGCCTCCCATCTCCGCAATGCTGCCATTACCGCCATATACCACCATGCTCATGACTGGGAATCCAACCCAGGACTTCGTGCCTGCTAGGCAAATCTTTCACCCACTGAGCTACCTCCCCAGTGCCCTCAGGCCAAGGAGTCTTGCTGCGGGTAGACCGCCAGGGAATGTCCCCAAACCCCAGATTGCCTTCCATCATCAGCAGACCTTCGCACATCTTTCCTGTCATGGCATATTTGCAGCACCATGTGCCCCGAGGTGTGTCTGGTAGAAAGATTATCAGACCTTTTGCTATTTATTTATGTTTTTTGAGATAGGGTTTCTCTGCGTAACAGAGCCCTGGCTGTCCTAGATTCATTTTGTAGATCAGGTTGACCTCAAACTCAGCAATCCAGTCCACCTGCCTGTGCTTTCTGAGTGCTGGGGTTAACCACACCCACTGTTTTTATTTTTTGAAAAAGCTGCTTTTTCCAAAGCCCCCTTCTTTTTAAAACATATTTTTGTTCTATTTCATTGTCCAGTTAGTATATATTATCGTGGCTTGGCTCATTTGCAAGGATCTCTGGGGGAAGAGACCTGAAGGTCGTCTTGGGTTGAGTCATGTTCATTTGCTGGACTTCTGACTTACATTTTCACTCAAGATGGCAACACTGTTGTGCCCCCTTGGAACACATTGAGTTCACTGTCACTGCTTTGTTGGTGAAGGTCAAAGGTGCAAGGGTACAGTATAACAGGAGAGAAGCAGATGCGACCACAGAGGGGGGATGGGATGTGATGAGCCCTTCTGCCTGGCTGTGGAGAAGTGTCCTTAGATCAAGTGACAGTTATCACTGTCTTTGAGGACAATGCCTCATGTAATCTAGGTTGGCCTCAGAATTGCTGTATAGCTAAGGAAGACCTTGCCCTCCCGATATTCCTGCCCCCACCTCCCAAGTGTTGGCCTTACAGGCGTGTACACACCCATTTTATATGGTGCTTGGGGTCAAACTCTGAGCTTCGTGCATGTTAACTAGCACTCTGCTAGGTAAGCCACGGCCTCAGCTCAGTTGTTAGTAGTAGTAGTATCTTTGAGACCACATCAGAAAGCAGAATGCCTTGCCTTACAGGAGGAAGGCTTTGAGCCTTTGATCTCCGAGCAGCCTGGAGCTCCAGAGCCTCCGTTCCCAGTGGGGCCTGTGAACAGCAAGTGCTTCTCGGAAACAGACAGACGGTGTTCACACCACCGGTTAAACAGCTCGGTGCCCTTGGGTCTCCTCCTACCCCAAAGATTGACCTGCATAGAGGGATTGTGTGCCAGTGTGGGTGGGACCAGCATGCCTCTAAGACAGTCCCTATCATATGCATGAATGAAACCAGATATAGGTAGGTGTGTGTGTGTGTGTGTGTGTGTGAGAAAGAGAAACAGTCTCACTCTGTGTTTCAGACTGGTTTTAGACTCCTACCCCCAGCCTCCCAAGTATCAGGATTTCAGGTGGCACACCCTTCTGGTTTTGTTTTTTTGTTAAAAACTGGTTTTGTGCTTGCTGGAGGGTAGATCTGTTTATAGGTCAATCTGTTACTTGTATGTGACTCCGGCTTCTGCTGTTCTTATTCTTATTATTAAAAGGCACGTTCTCAGAAGCTTCGACAGACAGCAAATAGTGGTGAGTCCTTGCTTGAGGTTAGGGCAAGGTTGGCTAAGCCTCTGTGCCTGTGAGCGGATGCTCCCCCAGGAGTCTTGTCCTAGGCTAAGTCCATCCTGGGCTCTTCAACGTTCTGCCCATCACTGTGAGTGTATTGAGTCTCTTCAAGTGGCACCCAAGGGACTGCAATGTGGATTTGGTGTGAGCTAGAAACATTTGTTTGCCTTGGTACTGTTCTTGGGGTTGGGTGGTAGGACCTTGCAGAAGACCTCCGGATCCTGGAAATTAGGACAGTCTGGGTTTGATTTTCTGGTAGATCAGACAGCACGGGGCTGGGGCTGGTCCAGCACAAATGCTTCCCAGTCTGAGCCATGATGTGTTAGGTTCCCAGTCTGTGCTTTCTGAGAGTGTCTGGTGTTAGATGGGTCATGGACTTTGCAGCCATCTTTAACCCCCAGTTTCATCAATTTTAGTTCCTTTCCTCCCAAAGCAAGATACCCAGCTGCTCCTTTCTCCTTCTCCCTGCCCTGGGGACTGGGCATGCCCACTTCCAGGGCACCTCGGGAGAAGTAGTATAGTCCACTTGACCCTGAGAGGGATGCGTGTCCAGGGTAAGTGACTTCATCAGCGTCAGATTGAATTGTGAGCTCACAGGGAACAGAGCACCCTTGGAACACTGGCCTGGAACCCAGAAGAGAGAGAAAGAAGAACCAGAGGGAGGTGATAGAAAGGGTGGCCTTGTGAACCTCAGCCTTCTCTGTTCAGACTCCTAGTGGCCCAGCCTGGGTAGCAAGCCACCACACCAAATAGACAGCAGGTGTCGAGCAGGATAGCCAGAGGAGTAGAGTGCAGCCTTGGGCCCTGGCTGGAGGCTAGGTTCCATCCTCCCTGTGTAAAATCCCAGCAGCCTCCGCTCCTGATGCTCCCCCTGAGCATTCTTTGCTAGTGTGGATGAGTGAGGGATCCTCAGTTACCTCTGAAAGTTCTAGTAAAGCAACTTGTCCAAGATGCCCTGTAACACACATGGGGAGAAAGCTGAAGAACAGGTGTATGCTGGGACTTGAGCCTTGAGGAGATAACCGTTTGGAAGCAGCCAATAGCAAGTTCTATTGAACCTGAAATTTGGAAATGTCTAGCCCAGCTTTGAAGGAGAGCCAGGGTTCCCTCTAGAACACAGGGAAGGGACAAGCCAGCACATACATGTGTCTTCCTGGACAGCCACAGCCCTTTAGTCACTGATGCCCTCTGTGCATTTGGAGTGTTATTTAGATGTAAGACACTCTGTCTAATAAGATTGTTTTTTTTTTTTTCAAGGACTTGTGAACAAAGCTGTCTTTTTTTATACTTAATACCTCTGAATCCTTCTATTTCTCTGTGATAAGCTTACTATGTCTACTCTGTTGTTCATAGTTGGATCCAAATCAAGAATATTTGCTTATAGTATTTGAAGGAGGACTGTGAAAATGTGTACTTGGTGAACAGGTTTGCAGAACCCCAGGGATGGCGCACAGCAAAGTTGTTGAGAGTCGCACACTAGAAAATCTCCTTGTATGCTGCGTCTGTTAGCTCGACTCTTTTCTGTGCCATGTGAGAAGTTGGAACTCAGTAGCCGAGGTAGCCAATCAGCATCAAGACCAGGCCCAGAGGCCAGCGTGCTCCCTGCCATCACTGTGAAGTTCCAGAATGTTTCCTGAGTTCTCATTCATTTTGTCTTTTCATGCCTGTTCGGAGACTTAACTTGCTGGATTTGCGTGGGAATTCTCAGAGTAAAATTTTTTTCAGAAATAAAGCAATTTGAAAATTCCAGGTGGACTCAACTTTTATTGATAAATGCTAAAAAGTGTGCAGGGCATGTAAGCTCCCAGGCAAGCTTGGGCCAGGGGCCACATACGTGTACTGTGGATACTGGCAGGGCTGCCCAACCTCTGGCAATGACAGGGTGTTGGCATCCACAGAGTTTACTCCAGAGCCCTGCAATGAAGGTAGCAAAATTAACAGATACGTGAATATTAAAAATCAAGGGTCAGTGAGAGGGCCCAGGGGTTAAAGGCGCTTGCCTCCAAGTCTGATGTCCCAAGTTCTAGTCCCAGATCCTATAGGGCTGAAGGGAAAAAAACTGACTCCTGCAAATTGTTTTCTGTCTCTCCACATTTGTGCTGTGGTACTTGCATGCATCTCTCTCTCTCACGCACACTCACACACAAACATGATAATTGTAATCACAAAAGTATTCATGATCACAATATGTAAAGTTACACTTTGTGCATGTGCGTATGTGATATGTACAGCTGTGCGATCAGCCATGGACATGGCTGGTGGTTTATTAAAAAGCACTCATGAATGTTGGTCTACTTTTAAAGTCAGGGACAGTCCTTCCACGCCAGGAGGCCTAAGCCCAGCTGTGGGGTGGGTGCTAAGGCGGGTTCAGTGACCGCAGCACAGGGCCTGACCCTCGAGAGGCTCAGCCTCTGCCTGGCAAGCAACATTGCTTTACAGATGTGGCGGGGGCCAGCTTGGCTCTGTGCGGTCACCGGAAGCTGTGGGTTAGGCCTCCAGTCGGACTCTGCAGCTACCTCTAAAGGACCAGCTGATGGTTTTCAATGATTCCGTTTCAGCCAAACTCAGGCCCTGAGCTGGTTTTGTCTGAGGAAGAACAAAGCGACAATGAAGATAAGGAAGAGACGGAGCTGGGCGCCATGGAGGACCAACGCAGTGTAATCCTTCACCTCATCTCGCAGCTCAAGCTGGGCATGGATTTAACCAAGGTGGGCTGACGCGGCTGTGCTGCTGTTTCTGTCTTTGGGCCTCTCCTGCTCACCTGGCCGCTCACAGTGCTGAGGTGGGGGAGAGGGAAGGGCCAGCATTAGCTTGTAATGAGGATATTTTAGTACTAATTGGAAAAGACACACAGATACACACACACACACACACACACACACACACACACACACACACACAAACATAGATACTTCCTTCACATGCCATCCACACACATACAAACATACACAAACATACCTGACACATCTCCATGAGCATCACACACACACAGATACCTCATAACATACATATATCTCACGTACACTAAAGTGCCACAGGTACTTTTCACACTATACACAGATACACACATGTGTAGGCATTTCATACTCACACACATACATACACAAAACACACACACACACACAGATACCTCATATCACACCACATTCCCATGTGATTGAGAAAAGGGGGGTTTCGTGTAGCTGACCTCAGACTCCTGTTTGTATCCAGGGCTGGCCTTGAACTCCTGACCTTCTTGCTTGGTCCGCCTCCTGAGAGCTGGGATTTTCGGTGAATGCCACCACTTTTGGCCTTTGTTTGTTCTCTTTCTCTCCCCCTCTCCCTTCTTTCTGTCTGTTTTCTTCTCTGTTTTCTGAGTCAGGACTTTGATGTGTATCATCAAGTCTGGTCTCAAATCCTCAGCTCAAGCCAGTTACGCAGCAGCGGAGCTGTACGCCATCCAGAAAGGGGCCTCGTTTGGCTCCCTGGAGCTAGTGTGTGTTCGCTGCTTGCCGGGATTGGAGATGAATGGTAGCTTTGCGGCCGTGCCCTAGAGATCAGAGCAGCTGGCAGAGGTCATTGTGACACCGCAGCCATGGTGAGAAGACCCAGGAGGAGGAAGGAGCCAGGAGCCAGGCCACTGAGCCCGCCCAGCCTGCAGGCCTCACAGCCAGTCTATAAGGGGTGCGGGCTTTGCTGGTGACCCCAAACCCAGCGGCGGGCGGTGAGAGTCAGGGCCCTGCGAGCACCCGGAGTTCTTCCCGAGTGGCCCAGCCCCCCCTGTTCTGTCACCTCGCCCATCACCTCAGCAGTCTCGAGGCAAGCGGAAGGCAGCTCCGTGAGCCAGCTGAACGTCGCCTGGAGTCACGGGGATTTGAGGGGTTCACGCACTTTACAGTGTGGTCGATGTGTTGTTGTGCCCCTGATCATAGTGCCGCTCCGGAAGCGTCGTGGGGACGGGAGGTGGCATGCAGAGCCGGACACCCAGTGATTGTGTCACCATTCTTTATAAAATGCCACAAGTGTGCCACTGGGCTCTGAGGTGTGGTTGGAGAATAGTGAGCAGAGAGAGACGGGGTAGCCTCAGAGGGTAGGATCAGGCTCTCTTTCTAATGCTGTGGGGTTTTATTTATTGAGATGGGGTCTCACTGTAGCCCAGGCTGCCCTTGAACTTGCCGAATAGCTGACGATGACCTTGACTCCAGAACCTCATCTCTCAGCCCTCCAAGTGCTGAGATTCCAAGTGTTCGCCACCACATCTGAAGCCGTTTTGTTGTCTAGAAGTGGGATCTAGTGTGTGTCTGGCTGGGGCTTTCTGCAGCTGAGGGTAACTTTGGATTTCCGATATCCCCAGCAACAAGTCCTGCCTGTGGGAATTACAGGCGTGTGGCCGCTCCTGGTTTATGCAGTTTATGGGGCTCGAACCGAACCCCGGGCTTTATGTATGGTTAGGAAGGATTCTCCTGGGGAGCTACCTCCCCAGCTCAGAAAGTGGCCCTGAAACCTTCCTAGGGGTTTCGGTATAAGCGTGCCCAACACCTTGGGCACGCTGCTTTAAATGGGAGCCCCACTGAGCACCACAAAGGTCCCCATTGCTTCCTTCTCATGCAGCGCACAGCCAATCCCTGCCCAGGAACGCGTAGAGGGTGCCCCCACCCTCGTTTCGGCCTTGTTGCTGAATAAATCTGCTAGAAAATGCTTGCTTTTGAAATAGCTGCCTAGCTTCAAGACTCTGAGACGGTGCTCCACTCAATGCGGAGGGCGGGCAGGTGGCAAGGTCCCCAAGTGCCATCTGAAATCTCAGTGTTTCCAAATGGTGGGTCTCAACCTACCAGTGGGTTGTAAAACCAATTTAGTGGGTCAGGCGGTGAGCGTTTCCAACACTTGAACTCTGACAGAAAAGCTCAGCGTACGGCAGCACACTCTGAGTTCTCTTGTGCAGGGTCACAGTGCACAGTGTTCTCAGGTGGACCACACTTTTCAGATGCTCCCAAAATGCAGGGCTGATAGCAGAGAGCGAGAAATTGAAATTGCTCCGATGGAACCTGGAAGGGTGCTGAAGCCTGGCGGGAGCCAGCGGATGCTCAGCTGACTATCCGGGGGCCTCTCTGTGAACAGCTCGTGTCTGGAGCTGTGAGCTTTGCATTGCTATTTTATTAGCTTGTGATTTCCAGAGGCATAGCCTAATCCTGAAACTGCAGACATCACCGTTATCTAATACCCGCTTGGTTGCCTGGAAGGAGGAGGAAAAATTAATTTCAAACATCTTCCATCCAACGAAATATTGTGTTGAATGCATTTTGCAATAGTCCGGGCACCATAAGATGGGTGAAGGAGTTTCCTTCAGGAAATCAGACCAGCTCTGTTGGGTAAGTAAAGAAACGAAGAGGCTGGGAGGTGGCACACACACACACACACACACATACATGTATGTGTATATATACATAGATAAACAGGTTACATAGATATTAAACATATATTTAATTAAAATATTACACACACACAGTGCTGGGCAGGCAGAGGGGAGTTCCAGGGCTGCGAGCCAGGCAGCCTAGCTTGCTTGGTCAATTCTAGTGAGAAAGCCTGAGTCAGAAAAAACAAGGGTGGCAGGTGTTGGCGGAGAGATGCCCAAAGTTGTCGCCTGGCTTCCACGTGCACATGTGTGCATGCCACTCATATGCATGTGTACTTCTGCACACACATGCAAAATACACATACAGAAGTAGAAGAAGAAGGGAGGAAAGAATGCTTATTCTTTAAGCCCCTGGTTTCTGAAATCCCGGATGAACCTTGGCCTGGCCCCTTGGCCTGGCCCCTTGGCTTGTCCTGGGTGTTTTCTCAGGTCTGGAAATGAAGCATCAGGCACATGGCTCCTGAGGTTGTTAGCTAATGGGTCTTTGAGGGGCACCTGTTTCTAGCATCTTTCTCAGGAGTCTGGCGCACGCCCTGCTTGAGAGGTGAGGGGATTATCGCTCTTTCTGGCTGTCCTCTGCCTTCCTGGCTGAGTAATGGTTTATGTCAGATTTCTAATGGCCCAAACTAAAGAGCGGCTACTCACTTCTGACAAATGGCACAACTGTCAGTGTAATTAATTGCCCTCTGGATCCCAATCCCTAGCCCAGCTCTCCTTTATCTATCTATCTATCTATCTATCTATCTATCTATCTATCTATCTATCTATCTATCTATCTATCTATTTTTAACTTCCCCCAAAGTAGTCCATTGTCTTAATTATGTTAATGGGAGGAAAGGCAGCCCTTATTGATGGCTCGATAAATCTCCAGCCACCACGCCAGACCACTTGGTCGCCATCAGTCTGAACAGCTGGGCCATCACTCACTCCCTGCCGGTGGCAGACAGCCCAGTTAGTGCTCAGCACTTCTTGGCTTCGTATGTTGATGAGCTGATGTATTTAGAAATGCACCGAGAAGAGGAAGAAGAGGCCTCCTGCCCCCGCACGGAGGCCGTATGAAAGGAGCAGAGATCTGCTGGGTGAGAAGCTGCCCGTCTTGGCTGGAAGGTTCTGGTATTGGAAGACAGTCCGGTGGTGGGTCCTCTCAAATCCTGGTGGTTCTCCAGTGAAAGATGAGCGACAGAGCCATGGTGGCAGCATCTGAGAGGACGAAGCCCTGGGAGGCTGGGCTTGGTGATGGCTGTGAACCCGAATCCCTAATAACTGCCAACAAGACAGGATCTCGAGTCACCGTGGAAACCAGCCTCTGCATGTCTGTGAAGGGTCACCCAGGCTGGGTGGCTTGAGGGGGAAGACCCACCCTGAATGTGGTGGCCCGCTCCCTGGGCTGGCGTCCCTGACTACACTGGAAGGAGGAAGTGAGAGGATCATTCCTTCATGGCCCTGTGAACTGACTGGCCGCAGCGTGACCTGTTCCTTCTGCCACGTGCTTTCCTTGTCATAAAGGACTGTGCCTCCAGAACTGTGAGCCAGAATAAGCCCCTCCTTCCTCTCCTGCTAGACACGAATCACAGCAAGCCTGCAGGATGGAGTGGGTGTGTGAAAACGGCCACCTTCTCTGTGGCATCCCCATTCTCAGGGAAGCTTTTTTTCCTCTTTAAATCTGAGCATGCTTTGATCTACAGCAGCAGTTCTCAACTTGTGGGTCGTGATCCCCTCCTTGAGGTCGAACAACCCTTTCGCAGGGGTCACCTAAGTCCATCGGAAAACACAGATGTTTACATTACAATTCATACCAGTAGCAAAATTAGGTATGAAGTAGCGACAAAAATCATTTGTGGCTGGGGTCACCACAACCGGAGGAGCTGTAGCGAAGGGTCACGGCGTGAGGAGGGGTGAGAACCACCGGTCTCCAGTGAAGGTGCAAGGGCATCGCCCGCGGCGAATGCCTGGTACTCGGCCTCACTTCTTCCCTCTGCCGACCACGCTGCCCTCCCGCCGCCTCCCGTGTCTTTTCCGGCATGAGCAGCTGTCTGTCTCCTCTTCCACGGCATCACTTTTGTATGTGCTTGTGTGCATGTCTGTGCAAGTGCGTCCGTGTGTGTGTGTGGGTGTGTGTGTGTGCTGGCTGTTTGATGAACCGTTCTGGAGCACATTGAAGGTCACCTTCCATCCAGCTTTCTAGCCTGTTTCTCCAGAGAGCAAAGGCATTCCTCCTGGGCAGGAAATGTAGCCTGGAGATTCATATGTAGCCCAGGAGAAAATTTCCAGAATCATCCCAATAGCTTCCCTTGTGACCTGCCTTGCTTTCTTTCCTCCTCTCTCCTTCTCTTCCCCTCCTCTTCCCTCTCCATCACTTCCCTCCATCCTCTCCTCTCTGTCTTGTCTCCTCGGCTCTTCTATATATCTCCCCCCACCATGATCACATATAGCCCAGGCTAGCCTCAAACCACTGTGTAGCTAAGGATGACCTTGAACATCCAGTCTTCTGTCTCTACTTCCTGAGTGCTGGGATCATAAGTAGGTACCACCATGCCTAGTTTATGCAGGGCTGGGGGGTTGAGCTCTTTCTGGGTGTCTGCATGGCAAGCACACTGCTAACTGAACTACGTTCCCAGTCTCCAGAGACCCAAAATCTTGTTCTTTAAAAAAAAAAAAAAAGAAAAAGAAAAAGTGTGTTACTATATGGTCCTAGTGGGTTGATTGGGAAGCCGAGACAGGAAGATTCAAGTTTAAGGCCTGCTTAAATGGACGCTTTAAAAAAGGTGTGGGGGAGAGAAGGAAGAGAATGAGAAAAAGAATGAAAGGGAAAAAAGAGGAAACGAAAAGTTGGGTACGTGTTGTGGTGACAAAGCACTCTGCCAGCATGTGTGAAGGGCACTAGTGTTAGATCTCAAGTCGAACAAAGATCATCATCAGAGGGGAAACACTGCAGCTGGTTCTGTCACGGCAGTGTCAGGCTCAGATGCAGCCACGGAATCACTGGCCCATTGTGGAAGTGTGCTAAGCCATCCTGTGGAGGGAGAAGATGGAGCCGGGTCAGGAGATACTCAGGAGTCAGACCCTGAGCCTCAGCCTGACTCTGCAGTACTGCTGTGGCTGCCTGTGTCTCTGTGGGACGTGCCTGGCTGTTTCCCTTTCTCCTGGACTTGCCTCCTTGAGGGTTCCGGCTGCTGAAACCTGCAGCTTGAATGGCTATGTGGTGGGGTCCTTGCTGCTGTGATCCTGACAAGAAGAGCACAGGAAGTTTGGACTCCTGGTTTTAAGAAGCCTTAAGGTGTGTCACTGGGGAAGGCAAGAGGCGGCTGTCCACATGCCTCAGCAAGCCGAGCCCGTGGAGTTCTGACACTTACAGCAACATGGCTCTTCCCTCTCTTGTTAAGTGCTTTTGGACTCCCCCGAAGAATATCTAGTATACAAAGGGAAATATCTAGAGGTGTGTATCCTGAATGATTCTTAAATTAATTAAAATGGACAGTGAAGATGGACCATGAGTGACCGAGGGGAGGGGGAGGAGAGGATGGGAGTGTTAGGGACATTTGCTGGCATGGTCTTTGTTTGTTCGGTGGGTGAGTGGCACAGCCTGGTCCCACAGAGCTCAGCAGACCTCACCTGACTCCACAGACACATACAGCCTGAGGAAGGTGCTGTCCCAGAGGGATCCTTGAACAGCCAGATTCTCAGTTCAGTCCTATTGTGGCTAAAAGAAAGTTAGGAAGTCTGCGTTGATTTGCATAGTTGTCATTTGATGACTATTCCTGCATTTGATTGAGGAAAGCAGAAAGATACAAAAATGCAAATCAGCCTTTTATCATCTAGAGACAAGCTAACATTCCGAGGCTTTGAATGGATTTACTTGGATTGTGTTCTGTGCTTGATTTTATATCTTGCGGCTGCTTTTTACATGGCTTTTAATGACAGATAAATAATATTAAGAGCTGTCTACTAAGCCGGGCTTCCCTAGTGGGGCTGGCTTTCTCCGATTTCCTCTGAAACAACTACGCCTTGAAGACATGTCTGCCTGCTTTCTCTCTTCTGGACATCTTTTCTTTTGTACCCAAATCACTTGCAAGGAGTTTTTAGAAAGCCCATTGGGCAGGACTGACTGTATGGCTCAGCTGTTAAGAGCCTCAGGGCTGAGGACCCGAGTCCAGTTCCCAGCACCCTGGTGGCTCACAGCCCCTTTTATTAACCCATTCCAGGGGATCTGACACCCCCTGCTGGCCTCCCCAGACGCCTGCACTCATACACACACACACACACACACACACACACACACACACACACACACACACACACA